TGGCCGGGTCGCCAATTAGTGCTAACGTTAACTTAACCATGCAACAGTATCATTCGAAACTAAATTGGATCACCTGCAGGACTCTCCGGTCGTCCGACAGTCTAGGTGAGGCCAGACGCTTTCCCACTTTCGTCACCTGGGTAAACCGCATGGCACCCCCAAAAAAGTGGCCTCGGTTGCCCTTAAACACAGTTAACTAAAGTTAAACGACGTATAATGAAAATTTAATTATATGAAAATAAAACTTATTTCTCCGATCCTTGGCTTTCAGCTTATCTTAATGGGGTGGATTCACGGTTATTCGCCGTGGTTGGGGTAGATTTAATAAAAACTTCAAGATGTAATTGCAACTAATTAAAACTAGCATGTCCGAAAAATAAACTTAATGACTGTTAAAAAATGTATGATTTGATTAAAACCGTTATAAAATCTGGTGGAAAGTAACTACTTAAATACTTGCTTTTGAAATTTCTTCAAATAATGCAAGCGAAGGGGTCCTTGAAATTACATACACAAAAATATATTATCTAATTTATTTGAAGCGGTATTACATTGGATCTAATTCGATAATGGCGTATGTATGCATATGGGCACTTCCAAAAAAAAGTCCACCAAGCCAAAAACCTTGAAACTTGAATAAAACATATTTCCACATGATCTTGCCCCGATATTAGTTTCTAATTAGTTGGATACTGAGCTGAACTACAAATTTGGAGTATAGTTTGATTATAATAATTAAAAATAATTATTTTTATGACAAACCCCACCAATATACGCAAAAATCAGTTTTTGGCTATTTTTTTGTTATTTTTTGGACCTGTCTTCTGTTGTTAATTTATCCTATAGGAATGCTAATATGTGGCATTTTTTTGTACTGAATGCTTCATTCACATGCTAAACTATTAAGTTAAAAGCAAAACATCCAGCAATTGAGAGATAGAGGTAAAGAAATCCGCTTTACAAAACAGTCGGAAAAAATGTCCCGAGCGACATGTCCCGAGCGAAGGTGGTTGAAACTGCATAAAAAAAAACGGCAAAGAATTTTTGAGTAAAACCAAAAGCATTTCACAGCGACATGTTTGAACAACATTCTAAAAAAATCGCATTCAAATATTCCATCAGAATTCCCTAATTTCTGGTGTTGTATGAACTTCCCCGAAATCCACTTCTATTTTTGTCCCGAGCAAAATACGGCAGTTTTTTACCGATATCTTAAAAACTAAAAGTGGTACAAAATCAAGATTTTTACCAAAAATAGAGCTTGGGAAGAGTGAAAAGAAAAGCCCATAATTAAAATTAAAATCCATTGTTTTACAATTTTTTTCAACTTTAAAGGTGTGCAAATGTCCCGAGCGACATTTTGGAAGTGCCCATATTGATAGGGGAGTGTAGGGTAATTTGACGAGTAGGGTAATGTGACGAACTCGTCGAATCTCATATATGACGTCACGACAAAAATTCCAAATAAATGTAGTCGTCTCCCCTTATCGTGTCGACAATGTATTTAAAGTAATATTAATAAGAAGTCCCGTAATTTGTTCGTGAGGTAATTTTCGCTAAAAATGTGGTGCGCAAACTAGCAAACCTATTCAATTTACTTGTGTTTCAGCAGTACCAGAGCAAAGATGAGTGGAAAATAAAATCAGGCAAATATATGCACGTATACATGAGATCTTTATCAACAGTTTTTGGTACCTCGCTTTTTTTCTTTTGCGCCGTTTGAGAGTGACACCGTTTTTCCTCCAAGTCTACCTTGTAGGGTATAGTGACGAACTTTTTGTAGGGTATTGTGACGAACTTTTTTTATTCAAGAATTTTAATTGTTATCGTTAATTATTTGTAAAAAAATATTATAATACCAGTTAACATTTACTGCTGCAGTTTTATTGTTGTTTTTAATAGTGAGGTCAGTTTAATTTAATTATTTTTTATTTAAAAAATTGCACTTCGACCATTTTTTTTTGTAAGTTTCGGTATTATCTTATTACTTCTTTCTTTTCCGTATCGAAAATAACTTTTCCGTAAATTATATATAAAAAATTTTTTTTTTGCTTGTGAAAAGGATGATTTACACCAAACGCTGTGGGATTTGGCTACGTTGAAATTTCGAATACAAATTTTTCAGAAATATGCTCAGTAAATGAAAGTAACTTTCTGCTTTTAAACTTTTAAAAAATATTGATTTTTGGAGAAGTTACATTAAAGAACAAATCGTTCGTCACATTACCCTACAACTTTTGAAAGTGCAAAAAAAGAAGGGTTCACGCCAAACGCTGTGGCACTTGGCTGCATTGGAATTTCGAATCCGAATTTTACAGGGATATGCTCAGTAGATGTAAGCAACTTTCTGCGTTTACACTTTTGAAAAATATTGATTTTTAGAAAAGTTACATTCAAAAAACGAATCGTTCGTCACCTTACCCTACACTCCCCTACGGTTTATCGACTAATGTTATTTTGTTTTTTATATTTTTTAAAACTTTTTTGTTCAACTAAATATTTTTAAAATTAAAATATAGCTAAAGTAATCAACCTAATATAAGCCAGTCTGTGTTCCTGGGTAGCCAGGCTTAACTGCTTCCGTAGCACTCTAGTGCATTTAGTTTTAATTAAATAAGAGAGCAGACAGTGAAGGCCAAAAGTGCCTTTTGAAATGGTCAAGCAGATAAAACTGCAATAACTATAAAGTCGGGGTAGCGTAAATGGTATCGGCTGTGGAGGGGTCGTGCACCAGGCGACCCAAACACACACAAATTTGTTAAGCGGGTCACGTACTCTGGGAAATCCCATCCACCCCCTCTGAGTGTTGTGATCAACACGAAAATAAAAATAGAAAATTAAACTTGAACCGCGCGAAATGGCTACAAATGTTCTTGCTTTACGCCATATTCCCCTGTGAAAATCGATTTCAATAAACTTTAATTCGTTTTACTTCTGAAGCCGTCAAAACTAGGAACCTTGAAAATGACGCAACAAATTAAATGCCAATAATTTAAAACAATTGCCGAGTCAAAAATATCAAATAAAAGCAACTGTACAAACAACGGCCAGAGCGAGACAGCGTTTTGTTTATGGCTTTTAAATCGAATTAAAGTCCCATAAAGACATCGAACGAAACCAAAAAAGAATGAAGATCGTAGAAGTAGACGAATGAAAAATGTATTCTCAAGTGAAAATGATCCCGACGATTACTAAACGCCGTAAACAGCTAGATAAGACAAAAATGGGAGCGGAGAATTAAAGTTGAGGGCGTGAGGTGAAAGAGACGATCTGCATCAAGGGGTTAATATAATATGGTAAGTGCGTGTGACAGTCGCCGAGGGCGAACAGAATGTGGAGGGCCTGTATTAAATTGCACTAATGACCTGCATTTTGTATTTGGGCAGCAATTCATAATTTATCCAAGTGATATGCCGAAGGGTGTGTGGTGCGAGGGAAGGTGTAAGGGGTTGTGGGAACTCAACCACTGGCATGTGTCGCATTGAAAGCACGCGAAACGCAAAACAAAGCTCTGCCTTAAACCTGTTCACTTTATGGTTCACCGACCACTCGTCGTTTAGCGAATTATTTTACATTCAAAAGCGGTATTGGTATCTCCCGACCCTAACATTTCAACTACCCAGAGGCGGCTTTTGGCCATCCGTTATAAACGAACTCTTGCATCTTGATTTAATCTTCTTAAATTCAACCCGAGGCACAGCGATTTACGAGTTAGCCTTTAAAGAATTTGTAGGGCATTTCATAACGTTACATTTTCACTACATTTGTATGAGGTTATCTTTTAACTCTTTAAAATATTTATTCTAAACTGCTCATTACCATCGAAAAGTATAAATACTATTTGAATATAATATACCTACTGCTTTATTTAGCCTCATCATAAGAAAAAGAGAGTTAAATTGCACTGGGCTGCTCTATTTATTAAGGGAGAGTTACATATGGAAACAAAATCCTTTTTTTTGGTTAAATTTTGTAGTATAACTTTTTAAGAATGTGTCATGAAAGTTACACGAAGAAATTCTAACTATTTTGGAACTTATACCAGGATGACGGCACCCACCTTCCTTGTGAAGTAGATATATTTCATTACTTTAAATGTCTTTTTCTCGAATCCATGTTTTTCTCAGCTGCGGATCGTGTATCTCAAAAAGTAATGCTTCGATCATCATGCTGCTTTTACAGAATTCTTTGTAATGAAATTTCTCACTGTTTGAAATTTGTACGTTGAACTATTTTTTGTTAGGCAAAAACCACACAGAAAATATGAACAAAAATTATTGATTTTGAAAGTGCGCCACAACCAGAGTTTTTGAGATATTCTGTGTAAGTTAGGTTCAGACAGTTTCTCAATTAGTTCTTAACGAAATAAACTTTGTTTCATAAAAATCGGATCGACACAGCGACCTGTAGATGATCCACAGCTGGCCTACTTTTCTTTAATATAGCCTAACAAAAAATTCCCACGGCCATGTGTTTTTCGACAAAAATCCCCAAAATTCGATTTCTGAGAAAAGGTACCTCAAAGTTAGAAAAATTTTGCCTTCAAATAATTGTAGGCTTTTTTAACAGTGATGTAAAGGAAAAAATTACATAGTCTTATACAGCTGCGATCAAACTAACAGTCAACAAAATAATAGTTCATTAATTAGAAGAAAGTTACCTTTTTAGAGAAGATCTACAGCAAACTTCAGAATTAACCGTCGGATTCCAGCAGCCTGAAACGCATCGCTAAAAAGTTTGAGAGCGTTAATCACACGCTGAGAAAAACACTGGTGTCATTCAACCTCGGGGGCGCTTGTTTAGCGAGCAGAATTACAAAAAGCTTTGATAAGAACAGTGCGTCGGGTCAGTGGGTGGTGGGAGATGGGAGGTGCGTTCTCCGCGGGGCTAGGCGGAGGCCCTATATTTGTGAAAAGCTTAGAATGAGGCGAGCAAGCTCCCTGAATGTTCGATAGCATATATAACAAGTAAATTGCGCTAAATTTCTCTCAGTCTCAGTCCGCGAGTGGGGTACTTGGCAAGATGTCAGCGATCGTGATACGCACCATGAAAATTGAGGATTTCCAGGAGGTCGAGGCCTTCCTCGCAGAGCACTTCTTCAAACAGGAGCCCCTGATGCTGATCCCCCAGGAGGATACGACGCAGAGCGAAGTGATTCCGGCGGAGGCGGAGCTCCACCGCTCGCTCATTCCCCAGAACCTCTCCTTGGTAGCCGTCGACGGCGAGCGCATTGTGGGAGTGGTCTTGGCTGGTGAGCTGGTTCCCGATGATTTGGAACGTGAGTTTAAGGAGACCGAGCAGAAGGAGGTCACGTGCTTGCTGGACAAGATTCACAAGTTTCTGGCCGGGATCGAGAGGCAGGCCAACATCTTCGAGCACTTCGGAGTGCAGCGAGCCCTCTACCTCTACATGCTCGGCGTGGATACCTCTGTTCGTCGCCAGAGGGTGGGCTCCCGCCTAGTAGCCGCCACCATCGAGCTTGGTCGCCAGCGGGGCTTCCCCGTGGTGACCTCCACCTGCACCAACCTGCACTCCCGGCGCCTCATGACCGGTCTCCACATGGAGTGCGTCCTTTCGAAGGACTACGCTGACTACAAGGACGAACACGGGAAGGTCGTTCTTAGTGCAGCCGATCCCCACACCTCGGCCAGTGTCGTGGGCATCCGACTGTAGTGGCAGAAAGGCAACTCACCAAAGAATATACTACCCAAACATAGCTAAGTAAGGACCTATATTGGAATAAAGCTGGATAGCGAATAGCGGGAAACATAATACTTATCAGATAATGTAATCTCATTCTGCATTTACGAAGGTCTATAAGACTTCGAAAAGCTTTTATTATCGCTGAAGATTTTAAACTAACACTTAAAGTGGCTAAACAATGTGTTACTAAACGAAAACAATTATAGTTTTTTTGGTTGACTCTAAGAGCGTTTTAAAATAGAATCAGAAAACACTCTCCAAATTTTGTGACAGTTGAGCAGCATTAATTGCCTTCAAAAATTTCCTCTGCAATGTAAAATCCATTTTTATTTGTTACTTGTTTATGTGTCAAGGAGATGAGAAACCATTCAAATTGCTTTTGCCAAACTTAAACAGCTAAAGTCGTAAACGAGGACTGGCACATCTTCCCCGTTGAGCCTGCACATGCCACGAACTTGGCCCTCGCACTAGCTTGGTCTGGCTGCGGGACCCACTTCATCGTATTTCAACTTCCATTATAGAGCAAAAGCAATGTTGTCGGCATTGCGGTGGCTTTGCTTTTATTTTTTGCTTCACACTAAAACTAATTGTTATTTTATTGTATTTGCAATCCAATCCACTGGCGAAACGCTAGCCACATGCGATACAAGCAAAAACTGTATGCGAGATAACCATAGTCGTGAGATTAGCTCTCACCACTTCTTGTCTTATCTTCCCCCTTGGGACATTGATTAAATAACATCTTATTATATAACATGTGCGTTACTCTTCGTACATACATTGATTTGGTTTTGATTGGTTGTGAAAGCAAAGCTAAATTTATGAATCATGTTTGGCTACCTTACACACAGAGAAATGTCCCTGCAGGAAAAATGCGAACTAGTCTGAAAAACAACTAGTTATACAACTAATATAAAGCAACATAAAGCATTTGGACTACAAGGGTCTAGAAAACTTGTGCTAGTCGAAAATGTGATTAATACAAAACTAGTAAAAAAGAAACTTGTCTCGGACTGGTACCTTTCCGACAAAAAAAACCTTAAAAATATTTAACTGGTAGAACAAATACATGTTAGGGTCTAGTTAAAAGGCAACTGGAATTTAACTAGTTGCAAATGAAACACATATGATCCAAAAATATAGCCTAGAGTGTAAATGTTTTGGGAAATTGAACACTAAACAAATCAAACACTCGAGGTCCTCGGTTGAATCCCCAGTTTTTATATGTACCTATATTATTCGTGCAAAAGTATGTAACTGGGAGAAGGAAGCGTTTCCGACCCTATAAAGTATATATATTCTTGATCAGGGTCACTAGCCGAGTCGATATAGCCATGTCCGTCTGTCCGTCCGTATGAACGCTGAGATCTCGGAAACTACAAAAGCTAGAAGGTTGAGATTTTCCACACATATTCTTGGGCTTCCTACGCAGCGCAAGTTTATTTCAGCCGAGCGCCACGCCCCCTCTAACGCCCACAATCGCCCACTAACGATTTTAAAACGTGTCTGGCGCCCACACCTTTAAAGATTTCGGAAAAGTTATACGCAATCAAAAAAATGTTATATATATATCTCCCTCGCACTCCCTTTAGCCGAGTGACGGGTAGTCGGGACACCAACCCGACTATAGCGTTCTCTCTTGTTGTAATTTTTTTTTGTTTTTTGTTTGCTAGTTTAGTTAGTTTATCTTAATTTATTTTTATTTTAGTTAGTTTTATTTTAAACTTTGTTTCCAATGCAATATATATGTGAAAAATCCAGGGATCGCAAACAAGGGTTACCTTTTTAAAAAAATTGAAAAATAAGTCTTATTTTTAAATTTTTATTATAAAAGTTGACAAATAACTCTTATGCTTCAATTTTTATTATAAAAATCAACAAATAAGAGTTATTTGTCAACTTTTATAATAAAAATTGAAAAAAAGATTGAATTGAAATAACTTTTTAACTGTGGGGTACATTGGCTTAAAATTTATATATATATAATCTACGCTTTAATACCCTTCTGTTGATATGCCATATGTCCCCAAAATATTTTTTATTATAATAATATTTGTTGCATCATCAAAAATATTTTGGGGACATATGGCATATCAACAGAAAGGTATTAAAGCGTAGATTATATATATTTAAATTTTAAACCACCCCACAGTTCAAGAGTTATTTCAATTCAACCTTTATTTTATTATAAAAGTTGACAAATAACCCTTATGCTTTAATTTTTATTATAAAAATCAACAAATAAGAGTTATTTGTCAACTTTCATAATAAAAATTAAAGCATAAGAACTTTTTGTCAACTTTTATAATAAAAATTGAAATATAAGACTTATTTGTCAAATTTTTTAAAAAGGTAACTCTTATTTGCGATCCCTGGAAAAATCACTGTTTTTGAATTATGTCACACTAAAATTCATAAACCTTGTTAGGGCATTCCAAAATGTGATGCGTTTATTGCTCAAGCAGTCAGTGTGTCAACAAATCCAATGGTCCCGGGTTCAAGTCCTAGAGAGGGCGACTTTCCTCAAGAAAAGTAAGTTAGTTTTAATTACATTTAATTATCATTTACTGTATTGGATTACATAATAATTATTAGAATTCCTCTAAGGACCGCACCTATTAATAGACTACTAAATTAGGAGAGCGTCAAGTTAGGCATCGTCAAGTACTAGTGAAATTTAATCACTTGATGGTTTACAGATTAATTTTTATGTTACTAGTTGTTTCCGATGATAAGCATATGAAAAATGGACAAGTTAGTTACAAGGAAATGGACATAACTTGAACTAGTTAAGTTTCCTGACCCAACTAGTATTTTACTGGTCCAAAACTGATTCCGTTTCCTGCAGGGGTGGGACTATTTTTTATTATTACAAATAATTGCCCTTAATATTAATAAGCAAATTACACAGGCCGACAAAATGTGACATGGGTCGGTGTCCAGGCCTGCCACCATTTTATTTCGATAAATTAGGCTTTTCTAAGCATAAGTTGCCACTACTCCTATAATCCATCAGCTCTGGTATTTGCTGTATCTTTAATTTAAGAAAATCACAAAATTTCTTTGGCTTTTGGGATATATCTTTAAGAGTGGTCAACCAATTTTGGTAATCTTTTCGGAATTAAATAGTTACATGTCTCTTTTATACGGTCGTTTTGGAAAATTAAATCTAACTCAACTACAAGAGGAGGTGGGCGCATTTAAAATTTTAAAGTCACAGCAAAGTTTAAAAATTTTCATTTGTGAACAGCGTTTAAAAATTAAATAAAAATATTTTCTTCTACAATGCATTTTTGATCCAAAGACACCTTATGTCCTTAATTTTTAGGACACTCATCAGGTTTTTGTGAATTGTTTTGGTTTTTTTAAAATGGTTTTTCTTACTTCCTTCACAGTGACAATTCACAAACAGTGCCCAAACCTGTCACTATTTTACGTAACGCATAACTATTTTTGGGCACAAGTGACCCTTGCTTTAAAAATATTTATACATGGGCGTAAGTTAAAAGCTGGAGGGGGATAACACTTCAGGCATTTCAGCCCCCAAAAATTAGTAGGCTACGCTCATGTGCTTATATTCAAAGCAAAACTACTTAGATCGTTTAGAAATATGTGATTTAAAATTGTGACAGGTTTGGGCACTGTTTGTGAATCGTCACTGTGAAGGAAGTAAGAAAAACAATTTTAAAAATTCCAAAACAATTCACAAAAACCTGATGAGTGTCCTAAACAGTAAGGACATAAGGTGTCTTTGGATCAAAAATGCATTGTTGAAGAAAATATTTTTATTTAATTTTTAAACGCTGTTCACAAATGAAGATTTTTAAACTTTGCTGTGACTTTAAAATTTTGAATGCGCCCACCTCCTCTTGTGGTTGAGTTAAATTGAATTTTCCAAAACGACCGTATAAAACAGACATGTAACTATTTAATTCCGAAAAGATTTCCAAAATTGGTTGACCACTCTTGAAGATATATCCCAAAAGACGAAGAAAATTTGTGATTTTCTTAAATTAAAGATACCGCAAATACCAGAGCTGATGGACTATAGGCGTAGTGGCAACTTATGCTTAGAAAAGCCTCATTTATCGAAATAAAATGGTGGCAGGCCTGGACACCGACCCATGTCACATTTTGTCGGCCTGTGTTATTCGTTTTTTAAGTTTAATACTTAAAAACATCTAAGTAGACATCGGATTTTAGGTAAAAAACATATTTTAAACGAGCAGTCCATACATTTTTTGGATTGCACACAAATTTGTTTTATGTAACTTAGATTATTTTGAACGCGGCATATTTTTGCAAATTCGACTTTTTTCATATATGTAAGGCTCAAGGCGTTTTGAAAATGCTTAATCTACGATGAAGATTTAAATATAGAGAAATGTCGTATTAGTGCTTCTTTCGGTACTTTGACTAGAGCAAGTTAATTGGTTGTCAGTGTTTTAATTTCAATTAAAAGTGGTTGTTAAAATATATACTAACATACTACTAGCCGCCGACATAATGCACGAAAGACTAACTTAAAAATAGAAGCCGCAGGCATGAGAAAAAACCCATCCGCAGAACGGAACACTAAAGCCGACATATTTCCAAAGCACCGCAGATTTAGGTGCATTGAATTTTCTCCAAATATTTGCGCAAGTGAATTTTTGATTTATGCCAGCGAAGCGTGACCTAAAAATTTTTTCATACGCTGTGAAACTAATTAAAAGTGAAAAGTTGACATTTTATAGTTGAATTTTTGATTTATGGCGCGAACTTTCCAACCACCACGAAAAATTTAATGAAAATTCAATCAAAGTTTACGGCCCTCTCCATGAGTTTGGTTTGTTGTTGGGCGGAGAACTTGAAACATATGGCTGCCCAGCTGCCCAGTACAATCCAACCTCTGACGTTTTCGTTATGGTTTAAGTGACCTTAATGAAGATTAATTTAGAACAAGTGTTACACTGCATGCCTGAGCGTAGCCGAAAGCTATAGTCTATTAAAAGGTTGGAAAAAAAAACAACAAGTAAGAACGCTGTGGTCGAGTACCTCGACTATCAGATACCCGTTACTCATAGCTT